GTAGTTCAATAACTTGCACTGTTGCAATGTTTGCCTTTTTGCACCCTGATCAGAACTTAAAGAAAAAAAAAGAAAAAAGGAGGGAGGGTTCGCTTGCCGGCCAGGAACCTGATCCACCCTTAGAGGGCTTTCGCCAGCCCTCCTCCCCGGGAGTGTTTTTCTGCCTTTCCCCGAGGATTCATCCTGGCTCCGCCGCGATCCCCTTCTTCCCTCCCTTATCCTACGAAAGGGGGGCGCGAGCCGCGAATGCCCAAAAGCCTCCGGTCCCAAAAGACATGTGCTCCAGGTGAGGCTCGAACTCACAACCTCGGCATTGCTCTGCTGCGTACTGCTGTATAAGTACCGCGCGCTAACCGATTGCGCCACTGGAGCCCTGACACCAACTCCTCCCGAACGGTTTATCAAGGCTGGGCCCTGCGGAGGAGAAGCCGTTGGCCGCGGCCTGCCCGTGGTTCCTCCCCCCTTTCTGTCGCGGCTCCTCGCGCTTTCGGGCGCCGAACTCTTCGGGCGAAAACCCCACACGCCTCCGAGGGGGGGGAGAAGGATGAGCCAAGCCACCCGCGGGAGCGGCAGGCTCCCCTTCTTGCCTTCTCCTCCCTCCCGCTTCCCCGCCTGCGAAGAAGACGGCGGCCGGGGCCTAGGCGCTCGCTTGGCCGCCCTCGCCAGCCCTTCCTCCCTGAGGGGAAAAGGCGCCCGTGGTGTGAGGGGAGGGGGAAATATATATATGGCTTCAGGCTCAGGGCAGGGAGAAGAGGGGAGAGAAAAAGCGGGCGCGGCAGGGGGCCCCGGCATTCAGGTGGAAAAGAGGGCGGGAAGCGAGCCGTGATGAAAAAAAAACAACTATGAGGGGAAGATGGTGAGGGGCGCTTGTTCTCTGAGGCGGCGGGCGCCCTGAGGGGAGGCGGCCACGGCCGGTGGCTGAGGGGAGGAAGCGTGAGGCGAGCGAGGCACCCACGATTTAAATCGATTTATGTTCCGACTTTTTTTTTAAAAAAAACACCAGGTCCCCGTCACATGGTCATTGAATCTCAATCGGTTTTTTTCGGGTGCTTTTAAAAACCGGTTTTGGCGGCCGCCCGGCGAAAGTCGAATCGTTTTCAAGAGGAACGGGATGGGAAGCCAAGTGTTTTAGAAAGCCTCTGCGAGGAAAAGCTCGCTTTGCTGCCCATAGAAGTCGATTAGGCCCTCGTGGTGTGAATGATAACATCTAAGTGGAATTTAAAATACTGTACAGTACTGTATGCTTAATTAGGATTCTTGTCCGTGTGACTTGCAGCCTTGCTCTCACGCTTCACTGACCGGCTTTCCCTCACCGTCTCAACACACGCCCTTTCACATGGAAGTTTGGGACGTTAATATATCTCCTTTAAAAAAAAATTACCTGCAAGATCTTGGTGCACAGCCTGAAGAAGATGAATTATCATTGAAAGCTAATTATCTGCTTGTTTTTTTAGTTGCCTAATAAAAGTATCACCTGCTCTTGCATTTATTGTTTTGGAGACGCCACAAACCTTTTCATGATTTTTTTTTTGGCTGAATTTTTTTCACATCAACACTGCAGGCAAATTTATTTATTTATTTATTTTTTAAATTTATATGCCGCCCACTCTACCCAGAGGTAAATGGGGACATCTCATCCGCATAGCCTTGTCTGTCTGCCACACTGAATTCCAGGAATTTTTTTTTTATTTTGTGTACATCAGGGTATCTGGAGAATCGGTGTCTGCTAATTCACTTATCCACGGTCTGAAAATATAAAAAGAAAAACCTTATTTATAAAGATGACGTTATCAGAACCAACCACTAGTGGGAGCAAGAGACCATGCAATGTATAGTGTTTGCAAGAGAAGGCTATTTCCATGCTGTCATTACCAGAGCTGGCCTCTAGAGGGAGCTAGAGAGCATGCTATGCATACTATTTACTATTAAAACTAATGTTTGCTACAATCTGAGGTTTATCTGCAGGGCAGGGGGGGGGCTGGTACTTATTCTTCTGTGGAGAATAAGGGTTTTTTTTGAAAACAAAAGACTCCTGGCACCTCAGAAACTCAGCAGGATTTATTTCAGGATTTTTTGTGGATCATAGTTAGATTTCTAGCATCTGGGGAAGTGGATTGTAATCCAAGCAGGTTCGTCCTGATGGCGACCATATGTTTGGTTTTTGCTATACATGTGCAGAAACAAACTAACAAGGATCTCTTGGGAAACTGAATATTTCAATTGTTTCATAAAGTGCCTTGAGGTCCCCACCCCCAAGGGAAGACCATGGAATAAATAATTGTCACCATCAATCATTTTTGTGCAGCTTTTTTCTTAAATGAAATTCCCATTTGTACGGTGAGAAGAAAGCTGAAGAACAAGGGTGTGAAACCACAGTTGAGTGCCAGTTTCTCAGATACCAATTGCTTGGTTAATCTGCAATTTAGCATATGTTACAGTAGGTGTCAGTGTATTTCCTTTACTTGAACAGAAAGTTCAGTGCTATAATGAAAAATAATTGAACTTGTGAAATTGAACACATTTGTAACAAGTATGGGAAGCTGTAAGGAAGCTGCAACAGATACAGAAGAAATTGCTGGATTTAATGGGTCTCAGAATTTTTAATAAGCCAGTTTAATAAATCAAATAAAAAAGTGATACAGAAATCCTGTGCAGCAAATAAGCCTTTGTAGATGAGTACCTACCCAAATAGGTTTGTATTGTTATATTGGTTTGATTTTAAAGTCTGTAAAACAGAAAGTGAGAAGATGTTTATGCAGTAACAGATATGGCATATGGCACCTGTTGATTTGGGGCCGACAAAGAAATGAAGGGAGGAGAGAAAGGAAATTAAAATGTTTGGGGAAGATATACAAGTCTAGAATTGCAGGCACAATGAATTCTGATACTCCAAAGTACGCTCTGCTTCCACCATCTCCCACTCTTCAGTACATCTTTACAGGTAAGGATGAAATCGGTGAACATGTAGGGGTCAGCTCAAAGGAGGACTTTTCTTAGGAATGAATCCATGATGCTTCATAAGGCAATACTGTACACAGAACTAGAGCAAAGGACAATGTCTCTTGTCGGTCCCCCACCTCCTCCTGTCAAATCCATCCTGCCTGCCATAACTCTTTGTCTCCTACCAGTAGGATTTTAAAAAAACATGCACAATCTAATAAGTGAACATGCATACAGGATTACATGTACAGAGGACCTGTGGTATTAATCATGTTTTCATGACTACCTGAACTGGGCTTCTGTTGAGGAAGATCAACTAGAGGTGGGTGTCAAGCCTTCTTCCCAAGATTGCATTGCACAACCAGGTCCTTGGCATACATACGGTCACCCACACCAAATAACTTGTGGGTTGTACTCATTGATGTTAGCTACCCTGGTGTAACCTTGGGATAACAGAAACTTCTGTAGTCATTTTGGGACAGCAGTATTCAATAACTTGAAGAAATCACCATCTTCCCAGTCTATCTCTGGCACTCTTTTACATGTTAGACCTTTTTACTCTGTTTACTTGCATGTTGATATATGTTGTGCTTTCACGGATGATGTACTATAATAACCAATAATCTGAGGCTAAACCCTATTGATCTGATGGAAATTTACTTTTAAAAATATATAGGATTGAGCTTTGTTTAAGAACAAAGAAAAGCTGAGATTTTCCATACAAAACAAAAGTGAGTTATGGGAGTAACCCCCTTTTTGTCTTTGTTGCTTTATGTGCACATGTATGAGAAAGGGAAAGAAAGAGCTTCTTCAGATGAAAATTGGCTGTATTATTCATTTGTATGCAACCCCTAAGCTCCAAGAGCTGCTTAAAATGGCAAGATGAACCCAGAATGATCAACATGCCTCTCAGTACATATGCAGCTATCTGGGCGTCTCCCAGAGTTGTTGCCATCATATGCTGTTTTATGGCAATGTTAAAAGGATCAAGAATGTCACGATGCTTTACCAAGCGATGCAGGGTCTTGCACCTAAGCAGTAGCTTGTTCCTTACTGTTGGGGCTGAAGATATGTAGGGAAATATCACTGTTCCTGAAACAGTTTTGGTGGTTCACCAGCAAAGCCTTGTCTGTGTCCCTAACTAAGATAGCAGTTTTTCTCTTTCTATACTGAATTACCACAAGATCTGTGGCAGCTCTGATTTCTGTCTTCCGAAGTGGGGGCTGCCCTGATCTGGTGGTATCAGGGACCTTATCCTATTAAACCTCCACTGAATCCTGCAGTGAGACCCAGAAGAAAAGAAATGCAATTTTTCATCCATCACCAAGCTACATCTTTTACTGGTACTAAAGACAAGTTCTGGAGCTGCCCAAGTGGTTCAGTTCAAGTGTATGCCACACTTCAGGTGGCCCATGGAAAGAAAGCGGAAGCAGTTATGGCAAATCATGTAGCAATTGGTTCATTTGTGATGGTTAAGAAGGGCTCTGCACCGATTTATGCTGATGGGGTGGCCATGGCTAGTTGTCCCTGACTATACCTGCCACGTTTTGTGGTGAACCATTGATCTGACCCAGGCATGTTCAAAAAAAAGTCAGCATAGCTTCATGATTATTATTATGCATTGTATCACAGAATTTTTAAAACAGCCAATTGTTTTACAAGAAATATAGGGAGTTCATAACGAACTCTGGTTTATTGTTGAAAATTGATGTCTGCCATTCATGGGGACATATCATACTAGAAGTTCTGTAATTCCTTTTGAGAGCCTTATGGACAGTTTTATATGAGCAACTGGCCAGACCCAATAACTGCAAATGATCAAAAGCAGGAAACAATAATGAAAGATAACTACAGAGCTAAATAGAGTATTATTTTATTAAAATATCAAACAAAAATCTAAGAAATTATATTTATTGTTGCTAGTGATCATTTAAGTATATGTACAGTAAGCTCACAGTAGATATCTTCTAAACAGTATTATGAATTACGTTTCAAATTAAATGGACAACTTTCACTAACAGCTATTTCAGTGTTAAAAACTCTCATAAAAACAAGGCAAGAAAACTGAAAAAAGTTCCTTTTATTCTGACATTTTCAGTAGCAGTCTTTAGCACGATCTAACAAATCCACGACAATGAATTTCTAAATAAAAGACCTTGTGTTATTTGTGATTATTTTAGACGTAGAATATTTGTGGCCATACAAAAAACATGAGTACCTGCAAAACTGTTACACTGTTTTCACAGAGTAAGTGTCTTTGCAACAGCTTTGTATGTCCACAAATGATACCCAGGCAAGCGACCTGTGTGTAGAAGACTATTTCTGTAGATGCCTCACCCACAAGTACTTGCAGGGAGAAGTTGTTAACAGTGGTATCAAATGTAGAACTCCATGGATCTTTGGCCTGCAGCTGTGCAAGTTGAAGATCACTCACTGAAACGACTGAAACCAATGGGGTTTTCATGTCCACAGGGTGGTAGTAAATACAACCTTGTGAAAGTGCTGAGGAAAGGAACAATTATGTATAAAACAAAGCACTGTCCATGCAGTAAAAAAGTGGATTCTGCCATGAATTTCAGAAAACGCAATTCCAATATTTTCCAAAATATATTCCTTTATACCCAACTCTTTTTATGTTATCTATAATAATAATTCAAGTTCACTATGATTTCTACTTTATCAGTCAATACATGCTCTCTTTTCTGTTCATAATAGCTTCGCTGGAATTAAAAATGGGGACAGTAAAGAAGAAACAATAATATTATGAAGTGGACATAATAAACCCTACCAAATAAGCTTTGATACTGAAAAAGAAGGAGGAAATTCTAACATAAAATCCTCTAATAATTCTCTTTTCTTCTTACTGGTCACACCTGAGGCCTCCTCTTGTAGTTGCTTTCTTTTAAAAAGACTTACAGGAAAATCCATAGGATATATAGCAATAAGCTACGTACCAGTTCAGATTAACACATGTAGGATTTATATGGCAAATCCAAGAAATGAGAGGTTTATTGCAGTTTGTGTGAAACTTCATGATAATCTAGTTAAAGATTCAGTATGTACACTGTGCAACACAGGAACATGGCTATTCTCCTGGAGATTTCTACAATATAAATACAATTTTTAAAAATACATGTTCAGATCAAATGTTACAGAATCTACACACTTGATTATACTATCCAATTCAGAAAAACAAGTTTTCTAAACATTTGTTAATTAATACTGTTTATTATATAAAAGAGGGAGGAAAGTGTATGTTTAAAATTTTATACATCTCTAAGTACCTGCAGCTATCTGGCAACCATTACAAACTCAATCAATACTGCCCAGGTTGGTACGTACCAATAAGACAACTTTGGTGTCTATGATTTTACAATCCAACTTTTCATTCTCAAAACATGCAGTTTGTGCATCTTACAGTTTTACTCCCATAGTCGATACATTCCGGTCCAATACATTCACAGCAGGCATTGTGAAACCATCGGTATTTGGAGGCACCCATAGATTCGCAAGAGACCTTGCACTGATGTATTGACATGCAGTCATCAAAATAAACCACAGTACACATCCGTTCTAAATGAAGAGGAAAAGAAAGAGTTTTTAATTTGTTGTGAAATGTTAAAATCACGCACATTTCAAACAGAAAGAACTGAGGTGCAGCTATGTTTTTTTTCTATGTTTCCTTATTAGCAATTTCAATTTTCCCAGATTCTACAGCAGTATTTTTTGGTTTTTTTTTCTGCAGATATTTATTTCCTATTGAAAATACTACATTTAGCATTTAAGGATGGAATCTACCATTAGAGGAAGAAGTTTTCTATTATAGCAGAAGGACTGTATAAAATTGCACTACTGTTTCTGTCCCCTCCCGCTGCAATATAGTACTCACAAGATGGGTTTAATTTACTTTTTGGAAAAATCAATGCACCAGTGAAATGTAACAATAAGCTTTTCTGACATAAAGATTGCCATACTATGCTATGCTTCTGTTCTATGCCTACCCAGAAATCTTTGGTATTTCAACTATGTCAGTGGGTAGATTTCTCAGCTGCAGCCATCCTTTCATCTTCAACAACGGAGAGAAATCCTGCTTTCTTTCATCCTATTATGCAAGGACAGGTAAAACCTGAAACTTAGCCTGTGACTACATTGGCAAGCTGAATTGGAACTACTCGGTTTTGCTGTGGCTTGATTCCCAGCCTTTTTTATGCTTCTGTTCAGATCAGGTGATCATACAGGGACTGAGGGTTGTTTCAGTGCCAGTGTCCACACTGACCCATAACTCTGATGCAGTTTGATCAGTGCCACAGTCCCACCTTCTTTTGATCCCGCTCTCTCTTGATCCCCGGCTCTCCTTTTATGCTGCATTGTGGTGCCTAACATGATGAACAGTTCTGGAGAATTCAGAACCTTGCACAATTTTGTGTGCCTGTGCATGAGTATGCATATGCAGAAAATCAGGCTGCTGAACCCCCCTCCGGGCTTCTAGTAAGCTGCATGTAGTTTGCCTTAAGGAAACCGGTGAGGCTGGTTGCTGCATTGCTCAAATTACAGGGGAGCAGATGGAGCTTTAATTATGAGGTAAGTATCAGGGAGTGGAGCCTGGCAATTCCATTAAAAACTTAAATATTTTTCTCCATAGTTTAAACTCTAGTATCTAGGTTGCAGGAGGGGGAGTGAATTTTAGATAGCTCTAGATGGCTAAACTCCATTCCAGCCTGTGCAATTTTCACATCTTTCAAAACTGGACTAAAATAAAATAAAATATGGGGGAGACAGAGGTTACGTAGGAGAAAGTATCCTGGCCTTTTCTTGTCCATCCCCCTTGCGGAGGATTTAATAACAGCATACGGACTTAAAACATTTCTGAGGATATGCTTGCGCCCGTACTGCCAATTCCTCTTCTAAGGGTGCACTTGCACCAGCAAACAACCAGATCAAACATTCAATGCTGGAATGTAATGGGAAGGCATCAGAAATAATTAGATTTAGTCTATTAGTTACATAAAAGGATCAAGATGTAAAGAGGGAAACACTAAGTAACAAAATTTCAGCAGCAGCTGAAGAAGTTAAAAAGCTTTTATGTTAAGTGCCCGGGAAGAAATTGATCACATGTTAAAACAAGATGTGCTGGCAATCATAGGTTTGTTGAACAGAAAAGCAGGGAATAAAGGAGAACCAAATGTTATCACAGACTATTTATTTGGCCTAGAAGTCTGAGACAAAACAGGACAATGACTCATAGAATTCGTTGAGGCCAACAATCTGTTTATTCCAAATATATGTTTCAGGCAACCAAACAAGGGGTTGAATATTTTTGAACACAACTGTATATGTTTCAGGCAACCAAACAGATAACTCTATCTACGAATATCACCAGGTGGCCAACACAGAAATCAACCTGACTACTTACTGGAAGGAGTAGATGGAGAAATTGTTATCCTCTCACCAAAACAAGACCAGGAGCCAATTGTGGTACTGACCATCCATTGGTAATATAAAAATCTGAGAGTGCCACTGAAAAAAAACTCCCACTAAAATAACTATAGTGCCAAAATATAATTTATTCATTTATTCAATTTGAATTCATTTATTCAATTATTCAATTTGTATCCTGCTGCCATTAGTGTTGCAACACTACTCTGGGTGGGTTACAACTTATAATTTAAATAACATTTTTGATGAATGTAAAGTCCATACATGAAGAGACTTGCATAACTAAGCTCAATTGACTGTGAACCTGAATGAACTGAAATCATATATTATTAGGGAAGAATGCAAAAAGTCTATTCCTGTATTCAAAAGAAAAGAAAAGCGTAGATGGATAACTAAGGAAACACTGAAAATTGCTAATTATAAATGAGAATCAAAAGCAAAAGATGACAAAAATAGGATCAGAATCTTGAATATAACTTTTCAGCAACTATCATGATGTGTCAATGGAGATTGAGGCCAAGATCATCAACATGATTGTACTTCCAATTACAATGTATGGATGTGAAACCTCAGTGAAGAAAGTAGACAGGAAAAAAAACCAGTTCCTTAAAAACATGATGATACAGGAAAGTTTGGCGAATACTCTGGATCTCAGTGAAGAAAGTAGACAGGAAAAAAAATCAGTTCCTTAAAAACATGGTGCTACAGGAAAGTTTGGCGAATACTCTGGACTGCAAGAAAGACAAACAAGTGGGAGCTGGATCAAATCACACCTGAATTCTGTCATACTTTGGGCACATCATAGGACAAGAATTATTGGAAAAGATATTAATGCTAGGAAAAGCTGAATGTAGCATGAGAAGGAGGAGACCAACTATGAGGTGGATTAATTCCATGAAAAGAAGCAACAGGCTTGAGTTTGTAAGAGCAGAGCAGGGCAGAAAATGATAGGATGTTATGGAGCTCATTCATAGGGACACCAAACATCACAGGTCACTTGAGAATATACACAACAACAAAAAATTAACTTATCTGGCCATATGCAATGCTTATTTGTACTTTAAAAACAACATATTTATCAATGATTCATTCTCTCTTTCTTTGAACAACTCTCTCACAAAATCAACTTCTGCTACAAACGTAATCGAGAGCAAATGGTTACCTTTTTCACTGGAGTATGATGCATGGACATTGTTGTTTGGAATGGAGACATTTTGATGGTGGGGCTGGTTCACTGTTTCTAAAATTGACACCAGGTTCTCATGATGTGACAGTTCTTCAGCAACAGGGAAGGAAACAACATTCCAGCTCAACTGAGTGTCGCCTTCGGTAAGAGCCCGGAAAAGAGAAGGGATTGGCTCATGCAGTTCCTCAACAGTACTCTTGGATGTTGGAGGTGTATCACTGTAATTCCGTGGATTGCACATACCTGTAGATAAATGAACAAGAATTAAGGTAAAGGTAAAGGTTCCCCTTGACAATTTCTGTCCAGTCGTGTTCGACTCTAGGGGGCGGTGCTCATGCCCGTTTCCAAGCCATAGACCCAGCGTTTTGTCCGAAGACAATCTTCCGTGGTCACATGGCCAGTGCGACTTAGACACGGAACGCTGTTACCTTCCCACCAAGGTGGTCCCTACTGATCTACTTGCATTTGCATGCTTTCAAACCGCTAGGTTGGCGGGAGCTGGGACAAGCGACGGGCGCTCACTCCGTCGCGTGGATTCGATCTTACGACTGCTTGGTCTTCTGACCCTGCAGCACAGGCTTCTGCGGTTTAGCCCACAGCGCCACCACGTCCCATCGAACAAGAAATAACACACTGCTTAAGATGCACCTACAAAAAGCAGCTTTTTAAAAAAAGGTAGTAATACAAATCCCTGAAAAGTAACATTTAAAAATAATAATATGACATATTTATCAAATTGGTGGGGATTTACAAACATGGCTTCTAGGGATGGAGAGCTTCTGCAACTTAGTTGAAAACACGGTTGTTCTCTCTCCTTCCAGCCAAATGATATAAAATTACCTGTACATGTACAGATATTTCAGATAGCATTTCTCTGTAAATACCTGCCCTAACATTAAGATCTGGCCACTGGGAGCAGTACATCCTGTGGAGATACAAGACAGTACTTTCTTGGCTGCACCATTTTGGTTTTGGAATGTCTTCTCCTTGGAGGCGTGACTGGTTGCAGATGTTATCCTTCTTTCCTTTATTTAAGGAATACAAAGTCAATCCAGGTATGCAGTGTGGGGGGAAAAAGGGGGTCATGTCCTTCTAGTAATAGTTCGCATTTGTACCAGTCTGTGTGTTTTATTTTAGGGCTTTGCAGATTTTTGTCTCTGGAATGACCTTCTTTGAGCCTTGAATCCTTGTACATGGGGAAGACTTTGAAAGATTTTTTTTTGAGAGAGAGAGATTTGGCTCCTTATATGTTTGGATTAGAGAGACTTTAGAGAATGTTATTTCTTGCATACAATTGCTGCTTGGTGCCTTCTTTGTGTATGGAATAAAACAAAAATAAAATTCAAATTTTACATTTTTGAAAAGTTTATTATATTTGCAGTTCTCAGAAAACAGCCCCACAGAATGAAGAGAATGGTGCAATGTCATGCTCTCATAACCCAAACCAATGTACATGGAAGCTTGTTGCTTCTATATTGTTCTTTGTGCAATGAAAGAGTAGGATATAACCATGAAATCTCATGCCAAATAAAAATTGTTAGTCTTTAAAAGTCCCACAAAACTCTTTTTCTCTGCTATGGAAAGTCTTCCTCTCTCTGGTTTCTTTTGCCACTGCTGAGATAAAGCATGTGAGTGTGGGGAAACAGACTGGAAAAACATTAATCTTGTTCATTCCAAATATCTACCTGTAGCTGTTTTTCAAGATGTTTTAAAAAACCATTGTTTGTAGCAATAAACAGCAAGAGCAGAAGCAGCAACAACTTCAGCCTTACAAGTGAAAGACAAGAACCCTTAAAGAAAAGGGCATGGGATGAATCTCAAGACTTCTATATTTTGTACTTCCTGCTCCATGCGTGCAGACAGCAAAGCTCTGGAAGGGTGAACCACAACACTCCTTTACTCAGATATAGATAGATCTGAATGTAAGTGGCCTAGCGTGCCAAAGATACATGCAGCAAAGGTTATTTCGTTCCAGTTCAAGAATATAAAAAACAATGAATTGTGTCATTTTCTAAAATAACAACATCACCACCCTAGTGTGGGAAGCTGCTATAGTACAGTATAGTAGTCAGAATGTTCCATTAGGATTTGGGGAATCCTGAGCTCATGTGGAAAATGCAAGTTATCCACGGCTATGATGACCACAGTATTCTTGCACAATCTCTTATTTTTCTCCAAGGTACTTCCCCCCCCCCGGTCTTTTCAGTACAGGCTGATTCAACAGACCTAGTCTAGTGGGATTTATTATGCTAAGCAACAGGATTTAAGCAACAGGATTTTTGCTAGTATGATGTAAGTTTGATTTCTCAAAATACAGGAAAGAATAAACAGAATGCAGATTAGTAGCACAATGTAGTTCACGATGGCTGAACTATGTACCTCCTCCCCTAATAATCTGCAGGGGAATATGTAACATGACTCTCTCCATAGCAAAGCTTCCCTTAACTGCAAGACAGCTGCTGATTTTTGATTTTGGGAAAAGACATGTTACTCAACTTGAATTCTGTGGTTCCTTTTACAAATAATACTTGGAACTGTCTATGAGTCACCCAAAGGCAAAGCCTAAACCATATTGCTCCCATAATATATGAATGAAAACACAGCTGCTTCATTTTTTCCAAATAAAACTCATTCTCTATAAGGACAGGAGAAGGCTGGCTTTCCTGTGGATAGCCCTGTACCCAGGACTTCAGGCAGATTCCACAGAAGAAAGGAAAAGGAAAAGGACCCCATGGTTCCAGAAAAGGTTTTAAGTGCGCTCTCAGTGGGACTACAGTCAATGACCAGTGCCTGACCTTTCGCAGCATTAGTGGCCAGTGCCACCATAGGGTTTATTGCCTCTCCAGCTCCAACAACATATTGGGAAGCAGAGCACGGCCTCAAAATATAGACCCAAAGGAGGTCCTCAAGGGATGCAGACCTCCCCAATCAACCATCAGCAATTCCCCATCATACAGCTACATGTGGCAGGAACAAGTTAAGATCCCAGCACTGGCAGGCCAATTAAGTTAGAAGAAAGGAAAAGACAATCTCCAGCTGACACAGACCACACACAGCACGGGAAGGAGCAGACCCGATTGCCAGATGCTTCCACGTGCCCGCCGATTCCCAAGGTCCCACGAGGAAAAGAAATTCTATACATCTTTGGACTCTAAGAGTCTGCTGGACTTCCTTAAAAAAGATGTGCCAAGGTAGGGGTTGCCACTGGATTTCTACCTTTGTCCAGAGAATAGACCCTTTATCTCCCAGTGGGGCAATATTCCCCTTATGGGCCCCAAGTCTGGCATTTCCTTAGCCGTGGGAGGGGTAGCCTTCTCCACGGGCGCCCCATCCATCTCCAGTGAGGCCAAAGGCACTAGTTTCATGGACAAGCCATGGGACAGAGTTCCCCCCCTGCCTCAACTGCAGCCCACTAGCATCGTTTTCCCACAAGAGGAAGAAAACAGAAGACAAGGTCTATGGCAAAAGATGGGATGCCACAGATGCACTCCCTGCTCCTCCCCACATTCAAAAAAAAAGTAGGCACCCTCCTTATTCAGACTGCCTTCAGCATCTCCCAGTTTCCTCATCTGTTTCCTCCACAGGCGTGAGGGAGAACCAGCAGATGACGGTATCTCCAGAGAAAAGCTCATCAGAATAGGTTCATCCCACCCAGATTGCTGCTTACGTCCAACAACGATGAACTACCCCTGAATAAGCATGTGAGAAACATATTGCTCGGAATAGGTTCATCCCACCCAGATTGCTGCTCACGTCCAACAAAGATGAACTACCCCTGAATAAGCATGATCACAGGAGAAAGTGAGAAACATATTGCTCATTTGAGTTGTTGGCTAGGGTCCACATATCCATATCCATCAACATCTCCTTTATAGCAAGGACTATGATGGCCCTTATCAATGACATACTGGAGAAGGAGTTAGGAAAAGGCCATGTGGTTCAGGATTATGCAAATACAAGAACAATCACTTCAATAAATAGACAACTGAAGCCTTGGAAAAATTTTCCAGTGTGGCAGACTTCATGACAAACACCTCAATTGAATGCAAGCTAAGCACAAACTCAACAGTAGACTGAAAAAAAATGGCATGTTTACCTTTGAGAAAAGAAGACTGAGGGGAGATTTGATAGCACTCTCTAAATATTTCAAAGATAGTTATACAGAACTGGAGCAGGATCTCTTCTCAATCATGCAGAGGGAAGGACACGTATTAATAGGCTCAAGCTACAAGAAGCCAGATTTTGTCAGGAAAAATGTCTTAACTCTTAGAGCAGTATGACAACAGAACCAATTAACCAATGCTAGAGGAATACTGGAGAAAATTAGACAATCATCTGTCAGACAAACTTTGATTTGGATTCCTGCGTTGAGCAGGGGGGCTGGACTCAATAGCCTTAGAGGCCCCTTCCAACTCCGTTATTCTATGATTCTATAGCTTGGGCAATTGTTTCATTACTACTTCTTCATAAATAGTTAATGTGAATGTTAATTTCATGTCATTTTTACTCCATAGACCAATTTAACTATAAAATCAATGTTTAGTTTTTACATTTTTATCCTGCCTTTCCAGTAAAAAAGATTAACAAGCAAAATAGAGAAATTGTTAAAGTTATTATGATCATGACTAGGAGGAAGATTTCTATGACATTTCACACTTTCTCAGCAACCTATGCTTGAATCCACAAGCAACTTTAAACATGTTTATGAATAATCTGGCCTTCCTCACCAGATTACTCATAAACATCTCCAAACCCACTTATAACACAAGCTGCAGAAAAAAATACGACGTGTCATAGAAATCCTCCTCCTAATCATTGCTAAGTACAAAAACAGTTTTAAAGGCCAATTTGAATAGATGTGTCTTCTCATCCTTTGTAGAATGTACTGAAATCAGGAACTGATCACATCTTTGAAGATTTGCAAGACACAGTCCGATATAATGTCTTGTCCCTGATCATCTTGATAAATTCCTGACAAGACAGATGGCCCCTGAGCTGGCCAAGCCTCATCATGCCCTTTATGCATTGCATTTTTGATTTGTCAAACTGACTTGGCCCTTAAAATAAAAAGATGCATGATCATTAAGATTATGCACCCATCCCAGAGCAGGTGATTAAAAAAACAACTAATGGACTTACCAACACAATCACAGCATTCATCCCAAAGTGTGCCTAGACAAAGCATGCACTCCTTACAACATGAGCAGTTTCCTTCACCGGGACGGCACTGACACAGCTCCTGTAAACACACCATGCCACATCAATTATTTCTGCATTCAATATTACTCCTTTCCACATCACTACAATGCTAAACAACCAAAGTTTGCTTTGCAAAGAGGACCTCCAAGAATCATGTAATGATCATGATAAAGCTCAACCTTCACTTATGCCAGCATAACATTTCAAATGAAAAATAATTAAACATATGATATTGAAACTTAATAATAAAACTAGTGTGTTAGATTTATATATCTACAGCTATGTCCAGAACTGAAAAGCGGGCACTTAACTACACTTAAGCCTGTGTAAAAGCCTCTATGAAATCATTTGTTTAATCTTAAGCCTTACTTTTCCATTCCTTTTGAAATCTGAAGGGGATACACCCCACAATATAGTTCACACTGTGTTACGTGTGAGCACACTATACTTCTGTCTCTATTAAAAAATTACTAGATAAAAAAATATTTTTCCTTGTAGTAAATAAGAAATGTCTGTCTGTCCTGAAGGGACTATATTTGATCATTCCAAATCCTGCTGTTTGCTGCAACAAAAGTAAAATACCACCTTCTAAAAATGTTGTCCACAGTTACATGTTTTATAAGTTAAGAAACACAGTAATGGATCAAGAGGAAAACACAGTTATCTTATCAAGCAGGGACACATGAGATGACATGGAAAGAAAATATGTTTGAATCTCCTTTATTAGTAATGATAGGTTTTTGTTCCCTTATTCTTGGTGAGAACTTATCATAGGTATCATCTGATATTAACATACATTAGCACTTGTTAGACAGGAGCAATGCATAAACTGGGATATTCTGAAAAAGAAAGTGGAACTGGATCAACCGCATGAGTTCCAATTATGCAGATTAAAAGTTGCATAAGCAAGAGACTAAGACATGGCTTGCTGACAGATCAATTAACTAAGGGTGAAAAAGTGATTTTAGAAGTAAAAAAAGTCTTAAGGGTTTGCTATGAGTGATGTAGCACTTGTTACTAAACTAACTATGACTAAAAGGGGCTATTATGAAACATGCTTGGATGTAGTGATAAGATTAGAAATTACAAAAAAAAGAATATTTGTATTTGTAAGAGGGTTGGTGAATTCAATATGTGTTCATTTAAAAGAGAATTACTAGAAGATAATTTGTTATTGATATCTCACACTGTGAAGATTTATCCAAGAGATCATTGTTCATATCAGCATTTGTCAGGTCTCAGAACTTAATCTGGTAATGAAGAATGGCAAAGTGAAGCCTTCCCTTAAGGACAAAGGGGCTCAGCTCCCTCAAAACTCTTTACTATCCAGCTGCGACATCCGCTGCTGCTTTTCCAAGACAGACAGAATAGACTGGTAATTGTGTATGGTAACCAGCCATCTTGTTATGGTAGATCTCAGTATCATGAGAGCATAACTCTTGGGAGCCGATCAGGGTCCTGGTAATGAGACAGATTCCCCCACCACAGGTGGATTTTGCTTCGAAATACAGATAGGTGAGATTGCCCAAGACATGACCCTTAGCTTGCTCAACAGGTTGCCATGATGTTTGCCTTTCTTCCATGTGAGATGACAAGGATAGCCATTGTATCATGACAATACTATTGATTTAATACATAATTGCCATTGTATCATGACAATACTATTGATTTAGCACATAATTGTAACCAGCCAAGATGGCGGAGGGCTGGCTGAGCTAACCAGTAGCACAGCCGCACATTCACAAGTGCAGGGGCCCTCTGCGAGACTTACCTACTCACTCACTTTCTCAGTCCCTCTCTTACTTTCCTTCTTGAGTGGGTATACATACACATTCACTCACTCCAAATTAGGCCTTAGCTGCAACTATTTTGTGGGGCAGTGGCAGGACACCATGGGGATGGAAGGGAGAACCTGCCATCCAGAGACCTGCCCCCCACCTTCTTCCATGGCTTGAGAATACTAGGGCAGCTGATGCTCCCCTGCACTTTTATCCTGCCCTTTCTTCCTTCTCCTGGGCTCAGTAATAGGGCACTATTATACACATGTGCACATGGAGTTGGAAGAGGGAGAAAGAGAAATGCAAAACTTTCAAAGAAGATCAACAATTGAGTTGCAGGAGGGCTCCTTTTCTGGGTTTTAGCTTGACACTTTGTGCATGTGCGTTGACAAAGATTTGGGGGCAGAAAGCCAAGCAGCATCTAAGCCTTCCTAATCAGGCAAGCAAGCAGGCAAGCAGAGTGCAAGCTGGCTCCCTCTGTGGGACAATATTCCTCCTCCATCAAAAGAGGAAAGAGGTCTGAAGTGAGGAGAGAATATATCCATTTGAGATACGAAAGCTGGATGATTTTGAAAGAGGGGTCAATCTGAAGACATGAACCAGTGGCTAGCTGAAGGAAGGGGATGGAAGGAATGGTCTGGCACAGCCAGGAAGCAGAAAACCGGAAGGATCCTGATGGCAAAGAAAGTTCTGGTGTTCTGAAACTGCTCCCCCCCCCTACCCAGGGCAGGACAACTATACCACCAGAGCTGACACTAAGAAAGCTGAGGCTGTGCTGAATCCAAATCCTAGGCTAGGGATGTCAGAAATTACTGTACTTACGATTATCCTGACTCTAATGTGCTTAATATCTGGGACTGGATCTGGCATAATCCAGCTCATCCCCTTCTACTTTTCTGCCATCTAATCTTAGCCAGTCCACCAGGAAAGCTTGTGACAGCACAATAGAAAGAAAAATTGCAAATATACTAGAACCAACCACTGTGTCTTTGAGTTTGGATTACACTGCCTAGCAGTTACTGTACTTTATTTATTTTTACTGCACCTTACAAAGTGAGTAATATTAATTCAAAGAGCACAAACTGATTCTCAGACTCTACTACTATTTGTGAGGATATGGCCACATACTACTGTTTAGTTAAATTGCCATGGAGTTGTTATCAACAAGGTTCTTTAAAATAAGGTAAATTGCACTCTGCCTTTTCCACTTGTAGCTTTTCTACTTGCAATAAAAAACTAAATAAAGACAAAAAGGATTTTATGGAACAAAAAGCTCATCAAGGAAGCAGAAACGACTAAACGGATGTTAAAAAGACCTATCCAGTAAGATAATACACAATAAGTATGCCTTAAGACAACAAACTTTTCATCCCATTCACATCTGTTACACATCTGAAAAAGTAAATATTTACATGGTCTGTAAGAAGGCAGCAGAATGCAAGCAACCCTTATCCACAAGAGTGAAACAAACTGAGTGAAATATATCTTGCTTAAGTTCCCCTCACTTTTTGGTCTCCTGTTCATATTTGCGCTGGTACATTTGCTAATCTTTGGATTTAGTACAGATCCAAAGACTGGAGCACCCAGCTGGATAATATGCCAAAAATGGCACCAAATCAAAGACAAAATTTAAGTACGTGTCTTCTGCCTTACACTGAACACCTGTGAAAAAGAATCTAAATTCTAAAAGTCTGAGATCCTTTTAAAGAAACACCAGACTCAACATAGTCTAGCTGTGCCCTAAAAGCCTGCTTGTTGATATGAAAAAGGTGAAAAGATCTGGGCCTGTAAAGGTGGGAAAAATAATCTTCTCTTTGGTTGATTATAACACTTATCCATAGGAGTTGAGAAATCCCTTTAAATCAGGATGGAAAAATTATGGCCTGGGACCACATGAGCCCTTCTCCTGATTTCTGTGGCCTTGACCCTTTGATGGATTCTTCTTCTTCTGGCAAAAGGGATCAAATACAGCTACTGAAGCTTTTTCAATATTCACAGGAATTCCCTGCACCATTTCACAGTCCAAAATAACAACTTGTCAAGATCCAAAGTCGATGCCTAGCCTTTCTCTTTTCTTTTTAGTAGTTTTGGGCATTTTGGTAGTATGAGCCATCTCTGTCAGGTTCCAAGGATCTGCCAAAATTGCTCCTCTAATAGCCAGAGAGTAATACTGTAGTTAGAAAAGTCCAGCTTCTTTCCCACCTAGTATTTTCCAACTTACACTCACTCAGATCATGTTTCCGGACAACATGATACTTGACTAGTGGGGGCAGAGCGCATTTACATTAAAGTCAGAATGTGGAAAAGTTCCTTATTAAGACTACAATAACAAAATCTGTAATCCAAAAAAGAGAAAAGTTTTCAAAGTGCTGTAGAGAGGAGAGTTCTGAATACTGACGTCTTGAGTTCATTTACTGTGAATCTACTCCACATGAGGCACAAACACACACCCCTGCAGAAACTCAATTTCCCGAGATATTCTAACTATTCCTATACTTCTTTTGTAAAGTAGCTGAGACACAACAATATGTGGAGCATCTGCTATAATGCAGAAGGATTGTCGCCACACTTCCCACAACACTAGCAGATGACATCTTCCACTCTGATCTCTGGGGGTGGGAGTGCCCAGATTCATCTACTTGTGCTCACACCTGACAATGAAGATCATGACTTAAATCCAGCATCCTGGTAACAAATCCTAATACTGCACTCCTCCAGCAGCCCTCTCTCCTTCCTGAAACATGCTCTGAAGGGATTCAAGTGAAAGGATTATATGTAAACCACCCAGAGTGGCCTTGGCAGCAGGATGGGCGGTATAGAAGTCAAATAAATAAAATAAAATACTGTAAAATAAAATAAAATAAATAAAAAATTCATAGAATCACAGAATACTTGAGTTGGAAGGGGCCTATAAGGTCACTGGGTTCAACCCCCTGCTCAAGGTAGGAATCCAAATCAAAGCAGATCTGAGAGATGGGGGTCCAATTTCCTCTTGAATGCCTCCAGCATTGGAGTGCTCACCACCTCCGAGGTAACTGTTTCCACGGTCATACTACCCTAACAGACATTCTTCCTGATATTCAGTCTAAATCTGGCTTCCTGTAGCTTGAGCCCATAATTATGTTTCCTGCACTCTGGGATGACTGAGATAGATCCTGCCTTTCCTCTGTACGATTACCTTTCAAGTATTTGAAAAGTGCTGTCAGATCTCCCCAGTCTTCTTTTCTCAAAGCTAAACATGCCCAGTTCTTTCCCAACGTTCCAGAACAGGTTTTGAGGATGAATGGTGAAAGAGACGTCACTACTGTATTATCCATCCATGTTCTGCTGAAGGAAGCAGTACCACCTTCTTGCCCAATAGTACTGTCTAGCTCAGTGACTTCCAGCCTTGGGTAGCCCAGGTGTTCTTGAACTGCAACTCCTGGAAACCTCAGCCAGCATAGCTAGTGAAGGCTTTTGGGAGTTACAATCCAAAAACACCTGGGTTACCCGTTGGAAACGGACTGGTCCAGTTTGTCACTGTTGGAATCAGGAGGATAGTCACCTTTTAAAACCTCAGTTCTTATCTGAACATTACTTTATAATATATCTGTGAAGATTCAGTCATCCAGGTGAGGTTATCTGGAAGTTGTGTCATGGCAACTGGACTTCTATCTTATTAGGTTGAAATGTTTTGCTACTCATCCAAGTAGCTTCTTCAGTTTGAGGAGAGATGTAAGTGATCCCTGATAGCTCCTCCATGTTGGTTTCACTTCCCCTGCTCTGGACAGGCTCATTAGATGGACAAAGGACTGAGTGTGATAATCCCACTTCTGCAGTCCTTCTCCACCCAGTGTCATGAGTCGTTGAGGGTTGTTAACAGTGGTCTTTCTGGTGTGTGTAGTCCTGATCTTTCCAGGGACGGATGAAAGGGCAGTGTGATAAATAGGAGACAGATTGTACTAAGGCCTCCATCCCTGCTGAGTGAGAGATTTACTGTATGTACATGTATGGCTTCCCTGACCCTTCTCTCGGTCCAAAATGATATCATCTTGGCCATCAAATGAGTGTCCTTCCTCCTTGAAATGAAGGAACACGGCTGATGGTGGTCCTGAGCCCTTGCCCCTCCTATGCTGAGCCATTCTCCTGTTTAGTGCCTGTTTGGTTTCTCCAATGTAGAGCTCCGAACACTCCTCTTTGCATTGGAACTTGGGAATATCCCTCACCCCCAGTCCTTTGTCCATCTAATGAGCCTATTCAGAACAGGGGGGAGTGAAACCAACATGAAGGATCTCTCAGGGGTCTCCTACCAACTCTCCTCAGACTGAAGAAGCTACCTGGAGGAGCAGCAAAAAGTTTCAACCTAATTAGAAGTTCAGTTTCCATGATTCAACTTCCACATTACTTTACAATCTTGTAACATTTAGTAAGCAGAGTTTATATTATACAAATCTGTGTAAAGTGCCACAGTAACTGATATGTGGAATAGAATCTGATTTCTTGAACAGTTCAATTTTTTCTTGTCATTCCCACCTCTATCCTCAACACTAACAGCCAAGGGCTACAGTGACTCCAGCCTTAGCTCAATGCATGGGTTACTTCTGTTAATCTCTTTCCTTGGAGAACTACATCGTTCCATTATTCAGAAAATAAAACTCTTCAAAACCACCTGAAAGTAAAAGCTACAACACTCTCAAACACTGGGCTGTAAAAAGATACTAATCATCTGCATAATTTATATATGCTATAGAATTTTTAATTTCAGTTTACAGAATTAAATTTTCAGAGGAAATTCCATTTGAGTTGGCAGATGTATTTTGAGAAAAAAAAACCCACTATTATTTGCATGGAGTATATATAGACAACTCTGGTCACAGTGTCAATATTATGAAAAGTTATTCCTGTATTCAGCAAGCAAATTATCATTCTAAAGGACCAGTATTTTCTTAGAACCCTGTATTGTGGAAAATGGCAATCTCATGATAACAAATGTGATTCCATTGTGGACCCAAAAAGGGATTTTAACCCTCTTGCCATCATATCCATTTCCTTGAGACAATATCTAGCATTTATTTCAGAGATCCAAATCCACAATAGTCTATAGCCTCATTTAGGTGTTCTGAATACATGGGTACACACGTGAGGAGGGAAGCACGCTAGCCCTATCCCTTCCATTGTTAGAGAATATGCGAGAAAGTCACCATCTGAAGGAAAGAGGCAGGTCTGTTCAAGCAGGCGCCTTCCACAGGAGCCAGAAAACTTTAGGTTAAATGGAGAGCGGAGACAACAGCCTCTCCCTCATCAGACTGGTGTTTCTGCATGTTGAAAGCCACAACGGAGCAACTGAGATTAGCAGGCCTTTCTTGTGTGTGCTCTTCACATGAGTTCTGAACATTTAAATAGGGCTTATAAGCACTGTGTTCCACCTCAAGACAAGGGGAAAGAACAACAGTAACAGTAGCACGTTTAAACAACAGATGGCTTAAAACACTGCTAATTCATTTCACTGATCAGTTTGATTTAACAGTATACAGTACGTAAATTTAATATTGTGAGTTTCTGATTTTATCTGTCGTAAGAAGGAGACAAAGAAAAATCAACAGTTCTCAGTATTGGAATCCTGGAGGTTGCTGGGCCATTCATAGATGACCCATTTACAAGTCTATGGCCACACATTCCAGGCTTTGTTTTCCAGCTACATAGGGGAAATCAAAGTCGGGAACAACTGCTCTCTGTGTGTAAAAGAAAGGACAAATCAAATAAAGACCCCTAAATTCTTCAACATAATAGACCTTTCATGAAATACATTTTATTCCATTTTTTATTTCACATTTATTGCTTGTTCATATGAAGGCATGTTCTAACAACCAAACTGTCAGATAGATATCTTACTGTTTCATGACGACAGACCAAAAAGAGAGAAAGGGAGGCCGTGACTCTGTTCCAAGTTTTAGTCAGAACTACAAAGGAGCTGCCAATGTACTAATCTATTTGAAGGATAAAGTTCAAGTCCTGTAAAGTTCGGATTAAAATTCACAGTGGATCAACTGCTTCAAGAATCTGGAGTCACTAACCTCCACTGCCAAGAAGCATATTCTCTCATACCTGTATTAAGCATTTGCTGACGTCACTGGCACATAAAGCCTTGTTGCAGCCCATTGATGAAGGGATCCAGAAAAAGAACAGCAGAATAATTAGCACAGGCACCATGAAATAGTACAACTTCATTTTTCTTGCAGGTAGAATATGTGTAGAACTTTCTGTCAGCACTGAAATGGAAAACAGTATAAAAAAAGACCAGATTTACTGACGCAGAAGTGCTTTTGATCTATATCCCATAATTCTTCTGAAGCAGTTTTTGTCTTACTATGTTTTTGTGGGTATTCTATACTCAATCCAAGCAGCATATGTAGAAAAAACAGAACTTCTCGCAGGCCTGCTAAACATTTTTTATAGATGTAAAGCTTTTGTAAAACTTGACACTTTAAATTCCAAATCAGATAATCATTTTGGTTAGAAATGACATTTGCTGAAATAAATGCATTGTGAATAAACAAGACATTTTAGAAAGTCACGGAAGGGAGCAAGGCCAAGCACCGGAGTGAATGAAAGAAATTACTTTTAGTAAATACGAAATGAGAACATGTTTTAACATAACATCAGACTGTTTCAACACCAGCTGTATTGCTGTATTAATTTACAGACAAAGCTTTTGAACTGGATGAGTGCCAGATGGAACTGGATGAGTGCCATATCTTGATGAACAGAATACGGTGACGCTGTATTAGCATAGTACTGTATGTCTATTCTGAGTGACTTGACAATATCTGTATCTATATCTGTCTCACATGGTTATACTATACATTCGATCACATTGTTCCTATGTATTTCCTGGCTCCTTAAACCATGTTATCTACTGATGCAATCTAGAAACAGCAGAGCACCAAAGGGGAAAAAAGTTCCCTAAACAAACCTTATTACAACTTCTAATTGTCTGCTGATTTAGCAAATACCCAATGCTGGCAAAGATTCATACATAGTCTAAGAAAGTAATTTTTGGACTACAAGTTTCAGCCATGCTGGCTCAGGCTTTTAGGAGTTATAATTTAAAAAAAAACATGCACGTACACTTTTTAAAGCTCCAAAACCACACAAGATTTAGAGCAGGTTAAGGAGATTTGCAATGACAAATGATCTTATTCCCTCTCATGAGACCCTACCGCTTACAAATATTCGTTGCAATTCTTCTTTCAAACACATTACAGGTTGGTATACAGGTTGTTTCATTCCTTAACCAGCACCTCCTGTTCTTGGCATTAGTGACACATCTGATAATAGATGGCATGGTAAGATCACCCATAGCCCCTGGCCATTTGCAAGACTGCACTGAGTTTTGACAAATGTAATCTGCCTTCTTGTGGATGAAGTGGTTGGTCTCTCAAGACAGGCTACAGTCTCTGCACATCAGATTGTTTTACCTGACCAGTAGCCAGGTCTTCGTCACTGGAAGACCAAGATACGAACAGCATTATTATGTGGAAACTTACAAAACAGCTACAAGCACCAAAGCAACCACGAGGTACACACAAATTCTAAGGAATTTGGTTAAACTGCATGTCTTCTGCAAACCATGAAATGGACTTCTTTTCAAAACCCTTATGGAAAGAAGTTTTGGAGCGATCCTTTCTGCAGATTAGCTTGTTAATTAATTATGGTGTACTTGTTCCGTCAAGTTGCAACCAATTTATAGCTACTTCTATAAGGCTTTCAAGGAATATTTAAATACTGTATCAGTTTTACCAGTTCTGCACCTAGGAACACACCTTAGTGAGTTTCCATTGCCAAATGGGAATTTGAACCCATGTCTCCTGAGTCCTTCCTAATCCATCACTCTACACCTGACTGGATTACCCAGTCCTTCATTAGGGCATTGCTAAATCAGTTGTTACAGGTTTTTTAAATAGAAAAAATAATATATAAAATTTTTTAAGCATGGAAGAAATCAAATACTTGCAAACATTTGTTCTATCCAGCAAAACCCACATTTAAAAACTCCTCTCGGTTGGACAATGAGGTGCCTCTTTATATCAAAAAGTACATTCTTAAGAGATTGGGGCTTGATGCCATCATCCTACCAGCTCACTCCTATCCAGCAACCTTCTATTCAGCTCACAGGCTAAAAACTCAAGAAGATTATGTTAAACTTAAAGGGACTTAAAAGCGTCTGCCCGGGAAAAAAAAACACCCTTTCCGTTGAATAAACTTGCTGATCCAGCCTCGAAAAGTGGCAGAAGGAAAACCGGTCGAAAATGAAGTTTCCCCCCCCCCTTAAAAAGAGAGAAAGGATGGGGGGGGATGTTTGAGAATTTCCCACGGAAAGCCAAAGATGTTGCTCCCCCCACAAAAAAGAGGCAGAAAGGGGAGAGAAAGTCCAGACTTATACTGAATAAAAGAAGGAAGGAAGGAAGGCGGGAGGATGCGAGGCGAGTTTGAAGAAAAAAAAACTGGGTTTCTCGAAGGGAAATTCATGGCCAACATCGTCCGGAAAGTTCGGGGGGGGGGGAATGAGA